ATAATGGATGATTTGCTAGCCTAAGCAAAACAAACACGACAGGAATCTGCCTCTCTCTCTGTGTGTATGTGTGTGTGTGTTAAGTATTATCATTCACAGCTTGGGAAAGTTACTTTTTTGGACTTCAACTCCCCCAGCCATGGGCCATGCTAGCTGGTGGATTTCTGGGAGTTGCAATTCAAACAATGGCTCAAGTCATTCATCCAAATGGTGAATATAGTCAAGAAATAAGGAATAAAACTAAGATTTGGAAGGACAGCTAGAAAGAAAGTGGACAAGAGCCTCAGCTATATCATTAGATGGTAATGTCAGGATCAACCATACCATATTGTTTCTGATATCTGTGCATTTTTTCTGAAAACTGGGCAGTGAAGAAAGTTGATGGGAAGAGAATCAATTCATTTGTAGTATGATTCTGGATGAGAGTTCTGTGGGTAGCATGGACTGCAAAAAAAGGCCAATGGATCTCAGAGCAAATCAAACCTGAACTGTCACTGGAAACCAGTGACTCATTGGAATAGATGATAATGCTCAGTAACATTGAAGGCAATAGGAAAAGAGGTTGACTCAGTCAAGGAAGCTGCAATTTTGAGTCTCCAAGCATGGTGCACGGCTGTTAATAACAGGGTCTCATGAAGGGGTCTCATTCACCAAGTCACTGTAAGTCAAAGCTTACCTCAGTGATGAAAAAAGAGACAATGAAAAGGTCAAAGACGAATGGAGACCCTTGATTGATTACTGGATCAAAGAGAAAGATTCGTGTTTTCTAGCTGACGTGAACTAGTGTTATCTGAAATTGGGAGAGCTGTGATAAAAAAGTCTGAGTTTAAGGTATAAAAGTTTATAATTTTACATTTGTATAGAGGTAATATTAGGAGTAACCATAATATAACGTGTGACATTAGATTTAAGATGTTTTGTTAACTGAAGTGTTAACTTTCTGTGCGGTTAATAACAGACTGTCTCCAGCAGGGAAGTCATTTTATTTTTGTATAAGTGTTGTTTAGTTGTTGTATGTCATGTTTGTTTTTGTGTTGTTTTTTTTTTTAATGTCAATAAAATATTTTATTAAAAAATTAAATTTTAAAAAAAGCTGACTTGACAGCACATAATAACAGTGACAAATTCCAGAAAAGTACATTTTCAAGCTTCTCTCCTACTGTAGTGAAATAACAAGACCCAGAAATTGGATCCAAGTTGGAGGAAGAGGGTGAGGGAGGTGGGAGACCAATTTGGGTGAGCCATGGAAGGAACAGCAATCTGTTTGTGGAGGCAGAGATCAGCTACTTTCTGGCAACTGACCCAGAGGGGAAAATGTGGGGATATGGGCAATGGCACTTATAGCATCCCTTGCTTCTTCCAGAATCAACTACTGTGAGAATAAATATGTATTTGTCTGCAAAGACCTATATATAGATGAGGTTCTAGTTGTACATAGAGAGGTGTTGAGCTGAGGAGGGAACAGGTCTACTTGGTTGGTAGTAGGGTTAGCCTTATTATTAATTGCAAGGAAGTGGCTGCTTCAGGTGGAAGATGTTGGGAGGCAGAAGCCATAAATTTCCAAATGATTTTTGTGAAAGTCTATTTATCTATTTATCCCCCCTCTCAGTTTTTGCAAAAACCATACAGAGAAAGAAAGTGATACATACAGGGGAGGGGAAGGATGTCAAAGAAAGGAAATTAATCCAAATAAAACCCCACAGAATAGACAGAAGTGTAGCAAGAAAAAAGGTTTATACATGAGCATCAATAAAAGACAACCAAACATCTGATTAGGGTTCCCTGTGAAGGTGGCATTTGTATGTCACAGAATCTAAATGCTGAAATGGTCATGAGTTCCTAAAACCATTGAATAATAGTTAGCAGTGATTCTTTTTTTCTATGATGCAGGAGCAAAAGGACATGGAGAGTCCATTTTTGATAACCAGTAGTTAATTTCGAAAAAGCAAATAAATGGCTTGAAAGCACATGCAAATATGCACAATTTAAAAATTATTTCAGCACAAAGTTAATACTTGTGGTAACTTCAACCACCAACACAACCAAATCATAAGCTTGAAAGATGCACTAGACAACTTACTATGAACTTTGTTTAAGAGGTGGTGTGATGCCAAAAACACAGGGAACATAAATTAAAGACATATAGCTAAACAAAACAAGATGATGCAGTGTTTCATGCCTAGGAAACTTACCTAGGACCCTAAATCTGACCCTCCTGTCTTGCTCTGCAGTAGCATCAAGGAATTTAAAATTTAAATTCCAGGTCGTCATCATGACAGCCCTGATAGCAACATCCCCAAAGCAGGTGGCTGTGTTGATTTATATTAAGAATGGATCAGAATGATTTATGCTAAATACTGGAAGATCCCAAAGATCCTATCTGAGGACAAATGGATATACAAAATTGCAGAGATTGCAGAGATGGACAAATTGACACAACTAATGAAAACTAATCCCAAAGAATGGCTTTTGCAAGAGTGGAACTTGCTTATAGCTTATTTCCAGCTAAGAGAGGGGAAGCCGGCATCAGCAGGCTTTGAAAATTGATTTATTTTATTTAGGTTAGGAAAGATGATGCTATAAGGAAAGGGTGGTGATTTTTTCCTTCTTCCTGTTTTAGTTATAAGGAGTTAAAATTAAGATTGAATTGAATACATGAAATTTATACATGAAAGGAATGGGAAAAGGATTAAGGACTGTACTGTTTGTCTTCACAAATAGGAAGCCAAAATTGTTAATATATTATTATTTATATTTTGAGAGGGATATATATATATATATAGGGGATTGTTGATGTGAGTTGTACTGTTTTGTGTTGCTATTATATGGTTTGTATGTTTACAATTATGTTTTTTCTGTTTACAATTATGTTTATATATCATGAAAATATACTTAAAAATAAATCAGTAAACACAGTAAAGCTTTTATCTTGGGAGGAGGACTTTTGTAAAACTAATGGGACTTATCCATTGAAGAACAAGCCTCTGCCCCCAAATACCTGGTTGATGGGAAAATCCATTTCCTCACCAGCTACTGTGGAGATTTCATCCAAGACCAGAAGGGAACCAGGGAGGTGAGGGTGGTGGCGGCAGCAGCATATGATGTCATGATATTTGCTTCTCAGTAGCCCTAGGGCAGGGGTAGGCAACCTTTCCCCTTTAAGGGCCGAGGGACTTCAGCTCCCAGAATCCCAGGAGCTATTGGCCAACATGGGACTATTGGCCAACATGGCTGAGGCTTCTGGGAGCTGAAGTCCCTCGGCCCTTAAAGGGGAGAAGTTGCCTACCCCTGCCCTAGGGCTTCAACCCTGTGTACCCTGGCTCCACAACAGCATTGTTGCATTGAGCCTCCTAGTCTGTTGCCTTCTGGTGCAGATGGGAATGCTGTCCCATCACCATTATTGAAGACAGATTCAGCTGTTTGGATAGCTGTTGTACATGAAATAGGACTGAGGATTGTTGTTGCTGTGTGCCTTCAAGTCATTTTTGACTTATGGCGAGCCTCAGGTGACCATATCATGAGGTTTTTTTCTTGGCAATATTTGTTCAGAAGAGGTTTGCCATTTCTTACCCTAAAGATGAGAGCATGTGACTTGCATTAGGTCACCCAGTGGGTTTCATGATGGAGTGGGGAACTGAACCCTGGTCTCCAGAGTTGTAGTCCAATGCTGAAACCACTACACCATGCAAGATCCAGGGCTAATTTTTCAGCTGGGGGGATTCATTGCAAAACAACAACAACAACCACCAAAAACACACACACCCAAACAAACAAAAATGGGATGGAGGAACCAAGAAAAGCAAAACAGAATGGATGATTCTGGTTTCACATAAACCCTTTCTAGGAG